AAATTTCATTTTTTCATATTATTCTTTATGTTGACAAGTGAATTATATCTGATTCAAAAATAAATTTTGCTTTTAAGTTTACATCTTTCTTTCATGTTGACTTGTAAAATTACCATATCATCGTAAATTTTTATAAAATACCCCTCTTACATACAGTGTATATTTAATTCTTATTTACACCGAGATTAATATTATTTTAAGAATATATTCATTGATTAAAACTTTTTAACCTGTGAATAATTTTGAATTATTAATTAATTTTATGTAGTTTTCTTTAACCAAAACTAAAATATTTTTAATTTATTCAATTCATAATTATTATTCATTTAATTATTCTATTATATTCTTGATCGAAATATTAAAAAGTTAAACTATATAATTGCCAACACGTAAATTCAATAATCAATTTTAAAAATTACATAATTTGTAAATCAGCAATTTATATTCCTCTGTAATCACCAATGTGGAAATCAGCTCTATTAAAATGTATTTAGAATAAATTAAGATAAAAATTGATATACACCCTACAAGGATAAACAAAACTTTTTAATTATCTTGCGTAATTTTAATTTACAGATCGACTTATATGGATATAACATTTGTTGTTACTCGAATTAGAGATTTAGGTCAGAATTAATTTTGAAAACAAAATTTAAATAACCTAAATAACATCGGATATATCGGATATTCTTTATATTTAGAATCATGAAAAATTTATTTCCAGAAAATGTTAAGAGGAGTCATACAGGAACTTCAATTTTAGGAGTTGCGAAACTGTTGTTTCTCATGTAACTAAATTTAGATTAAATAGGAACTAAAAGCAGATTTACATACCTGAGTGATGCAGATTACTAAATTTATAAGGGGAATAATATACTGTATTTCTGACTTTAATGAACCTTGTTTTGAACTTGCATGTATGCAAATTATGCCCAATTCTTCCTTTAATCTGTAATTATGCTTTATTATTTTTCGTGTAGCGAAACTTAGATTAAATATGAACTAAAAGTTCAGATTTACATACCCGAGTGAAGATTTACATAACGATAATAAATATACTGTATTTTTGAGTTTAATGGTCATCCATGCGGTGGAGTAACTATAAGGAGCCCGAATTAGAATGTGCAAACTTGCATTCACCCATGCACCTCTGTAGATGAAGAGTAAACTCTTATATATTGTATATGCGTGTGTATAAATACGTTTGTCACATTCACATCTTTTTCCTGTACTCATTTGATTTTTTTCTTAATTTATTTATAAAGTTAAGGGAAACGTGGGCCCTGAACCTCTCCTCTCCCTAGTCACGCTATTGGAGTCAAGTGTTGAACTTGTATATAGGAAAATGATGCCAAATTTATTGTGTTTTTTGTAAGTAAATTTCGGTTAAATAGAAATTTATAGTTTAGGTTTTTATACCCGAGGACTGTAAATTTCTAAATTTACGAGAAAAATAATATTTTTTCAAGTTTAGTTAAGAAATTCTCATCTAAGAAGGTCAATGATACAATAACAGACTTTTGTGACTTTAAAAAAGTCTCGTTTAAATCAATTCTGTAATTTGAAACGCTTTAATCGGGCAGACAAACTTTAACGTAATGTTTACAATTCAAAAGAAAAATTTTTTTGTTTATATATGAGCCTATATATAACCTCGAAATAAGTATGCGATGATTGATATATAAAATGTATAAATTGCAAATTTATAAAAATATTTAATTATATTAAAATAATTTATTTAACGTTTGGAATTATTCCAATCTGACGTTTTAGTCAGGTAGCCAAAAATGGATGCGACCTTCTAATGACGTCATGACTTAGCTGTCGATTGTCGTGTTTCGTCATTGAAACTTCGTCATTTTAAAGAACGGGGGCGTTTTCAATTGCTTTACTAATTTCTTTTAATTACTCTTTTAAAATGTTCAAACGCTATTTTTAATACTTTTTCTTTAATTATAAACATTTTCTTAGCTTTTTCGTTTATTTATGTATCTAAAATTTAATACGGAAATAATTTAAAGTTGTTATTTATTACGTCATAGAACGTCGTATACTTCTGTGTAAATCAGCTTCATCAATTTTAATGTATAAACATAGAAAAAGTGGCGTAAAAGGCGGTAGAATGTTTAATACTTAACATTTTAAGTTATTTAAAACGTTCTTCAGATAATATATCCAAGTTTATGCAACAAAAAGGTCGTTATAATATCATGAGATTCAATATAACTTCCTTTAATTAATTAAGAAGGTTTTAAATAACAGTTGTTTACATAATAAACATTATCTCTTCTTGCTATTGTTCTATTTATTATTAATTAATTCTAGAAATATTTTAACTTGTTTGCTTTTTTAAAAATCCAAAAAGTACAAATGTATATATTTTAGTTGTATTTATTTTAAATTTATAGCTTAAAATAAAAACACTTAACATATTTATTGTTTACGATTAAATTATAAAATAAAAGAAGCAGATGAAGTATTTTATTTAATTAAATTCATTTAAATAATTAATTAAAAGCCGTTGAATTATTATTTTAGCAAAAATTTGCCGTTTTTTGATCTTCCTCCCCATCATCAGTCATCAGAAATCCAGACTCCCGTCATCCAAATTATACAGTATCATCAGGCCAGAAATTAAAACAATTCACAAATACAGGGATTATTTTCAGACAGTTTTGTGAGAATTGATGAAAAAAATAAGCGACGGTGCAATTTTACATCATCAAAGACACCCCTTTCCCCATCGTCAGTAATCAGTAGAAACAAACGTGTTCCCCATCCCTATAAAGTACTGAAACAATATTTGAAATTTTAATTGAATAATAAATAATAATAATCTTAATAATACATTTTAATTATACTATACTGTATTTTAAGGACTATATTGTTTTTATTGTTCTTGTATTGTATAGAAAATTTAGTTAAAACAAACTAAAAAACACTTAAAATATTTTAAAACGTTTTAAAATAAAATTTTTAATATGTGTTAAACAAACAATTATAACTAATAAAATATTCTAAGAATATTATTTAATTATTATATTACATTAATTAATTAAGATAATAAAATGTTAATTATTTAGAATATTTTAAACATGTTTTAAATATTAAAAATATATAAATGTATTTAAAGAAACTTTTAAATAACAGATTTTTGATAATAACTCCTCTTTACCCATTTATATTCATTTAAAATAAAATCCATTTTATTTAATTAAACATTTATTTAAATATTATTTGATTAATATTTAATATTTAATAAATCCATATATATTTATATTCAATTTTCCTAACAAAAACATACTTTTATTTTTGTTTACTTAAATTAGTAACTTCCTATTTAACAAGTCTTCCAGATGTTATTTTAATTAATTTTTAATATTTAAATTATTAAATGTTGACTCAAAAAAGTTTTATTTCACTTTAAACAAAAATATAATTTATTAACGCTTCATAAAGTATTATCGGGAGCCGAACAATTGTAAGGGTTCCGGCCCCTTACAGTTGGCGCTCATTATATGGTACTATACAGTAATTGATTATTGGAAAATTTGATTTTTATTCAAAAATATGATGTAAATATACGGGTATTTCAGTAGACGACCCGTATTTACTGTACTTAATAAGTGTAAACGATCGTAAAGACATAAAGTGATAATTAATAACTAGAAAGTGAAGGGGTCAAGGCGAAGGAAAATTAACAGATCGCAACGGGATAATTGCCGAAATTTTAAATAAATAAGTTAGTAAAAATCATAAATAGATTATAAATCTAATTTTTAGCTTTTTAATTGTTTATAAAGTTTAAAAATTGTTTTCTAGTTTTAAATTTTAGTGATTTATTTCTACAAGAATTTAAAGTATGAAGTATATCAATATGGCACATTTATCCGAATTAAATCAGAGAACTTTGTTTGATATCAGACAATCGCAAACTTAGCATTTAAATTTATTAATTATTCATAGAATATTTGCCATAAATTGTCTGGTAAAGTTATTAATTTATTCAAAATTGTGTAAAATTGGAACAGACTTTTCTTCCCGAACCGAAAGTATTATTTTTCAGGAAGAAGTCTATTTCCTGTCATATAATAGATCCATTATGAGAGCTTCAAACCGACTACATCAATAGAAGCTTTTAATGCCATTCGGTTTATTATTATTTCGAAAATTTATGACAGAAACTTATATAATAAATTGCAGAAAGGAAAAGTTATCGTTTCTATTATGATAAAAACATTTCTCTCGACGACCTCTTTTTGAAATTTACGATGCAAAACTCGTTCGAAGATGCTATCGTGTACCGTCACAAAGGACGAAAACAAGCCAATATACTGTATATAAAAGTAGAACATGGAGGTTGTTTTATGAAAAATCGATACAGCTGTGACAAAATATTAAATTATTAAAGGATTTCCAGAAATACAATTACGTTCGATGTCCCAGAAATTATTCTAAATGAAAAAATTAACCCGAAAACGCACCGTATTATCATCTCAAAAAATAATTACTAATTAATCTTTACTTTTTTTTAGTTTTGATTTCAGCTTCATTATCTCGTTAAAATTTTATAGGTTTAATTTCTACCAATTTTAATACGACAATAGAGTAATTAAGGAATTAAACATAGGCATAATTCGATTAACAGAAAATTTTAAATTAGCAATTTGTTTTCCTTCTCGGAATGATTATTTTAACGCGATACATCCCACGATATCGCGTCTCAAAACAGTGATATAGCACTTTATTTTATCACCGATATTTCATTGTAAAAGTAGGGGAAAAGTTTGCCAAATTGGAGCCAACAGACTGGTTACTTCATTCTAAACAACCCCAAATAACCTCCACCCTCTCAGCTCATTCTTAACATTCCATGTCTGTACGCACACCAATTAAACTATCGGACTACTGGTGACGTAGTTAGTTATACCCATATTAGGTCAGGAACTTTCAACCTGTCATCCTCTACGACTGCGCACTGTTCCCACGCCGTATAGTGACTCAACCGTGTGCCATTGATGTAAAAGTGTCGGATGACGAAACTCGACGTCTAGAAGTTTCGTTTCTTCACTGAATAAATACTGTTCGAAAGCCATTCCGCATAAGTGAACTTGAGAATTGTCTTGTATCAACTACAGTACATACAACTGTGAAATAGCTTACACTCAACTAAAGGTGAGCTTCGTAACACCTGTTAAACTTTCTTTATTATTTAATTATATAACTTTTAAACTCATAAATTAGTTCTTAATCTTGTTTATAAAATATTTATTAGACTCGTAAGACAAACAAACTGGTATAAATTACTTTTATAAGTATTTTATGTAAGGAAATTTGTCACCGAACTAGAAGCCTTTCTAGTAGTGCGCGTTTTATGTAAGACTTCGTAACGTATTGAGATAGTTTCTTAGAATTCGAGTAATATATAAACGATAAAAGTTGCGTAAATTAGTTAAAGAGTTTCATAACTGAAGTAGGTAACCGTGTTAGAAAAGTTTAGTAGGTTAAAACGTGTTTTTTCTTAATAGAATGGCACCTGAAAGGAAAGTTCCCATCTTGAGATCCGATTGCCACGTCCTTGACCAAGAATTTAATTCGATCCGAGAAAGGTTCGAGGCAGAGATGAAAAAGATGGAGGAAGAAATGAATAGATTCAGATCTCAACTGATCGACCAAGAGAGAGAAGTTTATTCTCCATCAGTTCAGCAGCGAACCACTACAACTACCACTACAATGTCTAGTACCAACGACGGTGGAACTCATAAATCCGAATTGAAAACTTGGTTGGATGGATTGAATTCTCCTCTCATACAAGATTCCGACGATGGAAAAATGTTAAAATTGAGATTCGATGTCAGTCAGTACGCTCCCGAAGAGATTTTGGTGAAGACAGTAGAGAATCGTTTACAGGTTAGAGCATATCCTACTATGGTATTACTAACAACTAAAGATAAATTGTTTATTAATAACTCTATTCGCAAATTGGCTGATCGAGTGAATTTTTTTGGCTTATCTGCACGTTTATAAATAACATTTGCCTTGAACTAATGTCACCTGTTCTTGGCAGATATATGGGAGATTTTAAGTCGGTTAGAGCAATAACATGCCAAAAATTGTTAACAGTAAGTTATACAAGTTACATGAAACTTTCCTAAAATTCTCTCCGGATAATTTAGAGGCATTCTTAGCAGAAAACAAACTACTTTTATCATAGTTTCATGTTTTAACGTTGTTATTTTACGGGTCTCGCCAGCTATGATAATTACTAACTTATAAAAATAAACAGGACAGGAACAATTTGTCTAGCTTTGTTTATAAAAGTAACGCTAACTTAACTCGTTAAGAAAAAAAAACATGATGTATTCCCGTCGGAAACGAGTTTCCACCCCGTTTGGGTGGAGGAAACTTAGAGCAGCGCTTCTAAATTTGAAAATGCAGGAAAAGTTATTATCATAATGCATGACTTATATGACTAATTGGCTTTTGATCCCCACCTGCGTTAGTGCAGCCTTACAAGGAAACAGAATCGCTGCCACCGCCTGATCCCACGCCCATCCTAGTTAAATCTGTTTGTCAAAGGCGAGCCAAAAGAAACAAGATTCTGTCTTCGCTCGACAATTGAAGACAGGAAACAATTTCGAATCTTGGCATGTACGTTTTACCGGTAATAATTTAGGATTTGTGTTTTTTAATTTTAGGTTCAAGCCAAGCACGAGGAGAAATCAGAAAATAGGTCCGTCTATCGCGAATATAACAGAGAGTTTTTATTACCAAAAGGAACAAATCCAGAAATGATTAGATCATCCCTCTCAAAAGACGGAGTTCTAACCGTCGAAGCACCTCTTCCCGCTTTGGAATATAAAGAAAGAAGAATTCCCATCGATACTGCTTAAAGTGTAACGTTACTTATCCAACTATGAGTATCACTCTCTTAAATATAATACCTATAATAATTATTAGATGAGAAAAGTCCAATGTCTACGCGTTATTTTCCTTCCATAAGAAACAATTTTTTTGTAAAAATTTTATTTTGGTGGTGTTTTAATTAATTAATGTAAAATTAAATACTCATTCCACTAGAGGTTTTCGAAGGCTGGACAAGCCACAAATATTTGTTATTTTGGCGCACTGTATAAAGTTTGTGTAAAAGATTTTTAGCTCACTCAGTGAGATATTTATTTTATACTTCTAATAAAATTTAAAATTAATTCAAAATGTTATTTTCTTTTCTTCCTTCGTTGGAATTGATACATAATTTTAAACGGATTTATATAACAATACAATAATGATTTCGAATTATACAGAGGAATTTTCCTATAAATGAAAGATAAAATTGGCAAAGAAAAGTAAAAGTAATTTAACTTGTGCTTGAAGAAATACCTCAAATTCTAATTTTATAGATTTCACGCTTTTTAAATTCAAACTATTAAGGTAATATAAGTACCGGGTGTCTGAAAATATGCACACTTTTTAACTTTTCTGAGATAACATCAATTGCATGGTCCAGTTGTTATATGAAAGGGTGAGTGGAAAATTGGCACAAGTGACAAAACAGTTTTTTCTATTAAAAATACGTGAAAAGTGCAGTATTAAATTAAAAATAAAAGAATAATAAATACCAGTAATATGCAAGTAAATAAGTTATATCTGTTTATTTCATTTAATAAAATGTAATTTTTAACTAATGTTATCACTATTATAATCGAGTTATAGGCCTACTATTTGTATTTTGTACTATTTTTCACTGAACCCTTTATATTATAATATATCATAATTTAGGCAGATACAAAAAAATGTTTGAAATATATGACATCATTTTTTCAAGTTTTCAAATTGTTTATTATTAATGTCCACGTATTGTTGACGTCCTTGAATACGCGTTATTAGTGACCACTTCAAAAGTCTGTTAAGACTGTTACATCACAGTTTCAACAGACGTGACGTTAAGTGTTGCAAGTTGAATTTTAAGTTATCGGAAGTGTATATAGTATACTTTCTTACAAATATCTTGTATATATTTTTCTCAATGTATATGTTATATACTGTAATTAAGCGTGAACTTATTAATCTGGTGCGCTTGCAACCATTTTATGTCATTGAATCAACCTAAATAAACAGAATACTCAGATCTATAAAACTGCTTTTATGTTGGCGAAATAAATGCAATTCCAAAGTTAAAGAATTAGAACTGTTGGTAAATGTTTGTTTGAAAAAAATATTAGGCCTATATGCATATTTTAATATATTTTTTATATTCAAATTTTACTCCGTGTATAGTAAAATTTTAATATAAAAAATATATATTAAAATATTCATATAGGCCCTAATTAAAATTTGTTTCAAAATTACATTGAATTAGTTTAATATGTGCATGTATGTAAATAATGAAATCAGAAAAGAATTCGGTTAATTGTATCAAAACCATATTTCAGGCCTACACAAAAAAAAACTAATAAGCTATATCGATGCTTTACAATGGCTGTGGAAGAAATTTAGTGGGGTAACACTTGCTTAAAAGGCATGCTAACTTAAATTTATCTATTTATTAATCTCTGAAACAACCTTATATTTTTTCCTCACATAGAAAACCTAAATAAATATATAGGCTAACTTGCACTTGCGTTTCTGATTTACATTTTAAGGTCTTTTATTTTTAGCACAGTGGGCTATGGTCCACTCAAGGTACCTCAGCTTCTGGATCCCTTGACATAATGCATGAAAAATATTATTCAAACACAGGTCGTCTTTATTTATTTTTAACAGGACTCCATGGTACTGCCTTCTGCAGAAATCAAAATACAACAGTAAGCAACATAGCGCAACGCAAAAAAGAACAAGAAAACAAAACGTTAAAATATACAGTCTAAACATATCATATTTACTATATCTATATGTAAAGTCGAACCTTCAATACCGGCCACTTTATATGTTCCAGTCAATGTTCAAAGGTTTATCAATATACAGTTCATTCTTGCTAATCCGACCTTTCAATTATCCGGCATATTCCATTATAATATGTTTCTTATTCGTGTTTTTTAGTATGTATAGTACAGTAAACTTTTTAACATTAAATATGATGCAGTAATTGTTCTTTATCGCTGTACACAATTTTACAACAAAAGCGATACAGCTACAAAAAGATCGAGGACGACAGGTCACGTCATTCATTCAGGTCTGTACACTCACTAATCCGCAGTCTCGCTAATCTGGCACCCATCTTTGCAAGGAATGACTAATTAATTGAGATACCCCATTAGCAAGAGAATGGTGTATCTCAATTAATCAAAATATTTGATAAATTGATCTTTTCATAAATAAATAATTGAAATAATGTCGACTGCACATTTTCTCCAGAATAAAATTGTTATTAGTTCTACATTTACTATTATATTTAATTAATTTGTTCAAAGCATGTTGACTATTTGTTCATTTTAATTTTTGTTGACTCAAATAGTATCATTTTTAACACACAAAGTTTATAGTATTTTATGACTGTAAAGAATTAATGCGTGTTTCCTTTTTCTGATTAAATATGTTTTAAGAGATTTCCAATAACATTAATTGTTTTGATGTATAGGTATAATCAACCTACTTAACGTTCTCGCATCATTAAATTAATGGATTTGACACTAAAAAGGCTTGAAAATTATTTTAGTTCTATTTTTTCCTGGAAAGTTCAATGTACGATTGCAATTATATTCTTTTTTTTATTGTTTAGTTGGATATTGAAGTTGGATATTTTAATATATTATAAAACCGAACATTATCCACGAACAATAAATTTTCGGGTTTTATTATAATGAAAATGTTCAATGTTAAAAGTAATGAATTTCTTAAAATTAATAAAATATAAATCGTGTTTTTGACTGTATTATATTACAGGGAATTAATTAATTCATGGAGTAAGGCAACTCACCATTTGGACGATCTGCACATAGGGAATTTCTATGAGAAAATCACCCCTATTTAGATACTAGCAGACTAGCAGAGCATTAGGCCTTGGCCCCTGACACAAAATGTTTAATTAAATTTTAAAAACCTCTGTGTCTGAGGCGGCCTTACAACATTTTGTCGGAGCTATGTATCGGGTTCCTCTTTTATATTGGAGCCCATTAGTGCCGAATGAATACAACACTAAACACTGATAGTTGGTCGCGGGTTCGCGTCTTACCAACGAGTTAGCCTCATAGAGTTTTTCGGGCTTTCTTCGTGTCTAATATTTAAATAAAAGCCTTTCCAACAGAGAGTACTCATAGGAACACACTTTGGCAGATCGCTCACGTGTTGCGTTCCCAATTCAATCGATCCAATCCTCTTTAATGTGCAAATCATAACACGGAAGTAATGCATATTATAATGTTTTTGATAACGATTAAAAAGCTATTTTTATGTACTGTATCTTAAAAACATATGAATGCAATCAATATTACTTTCGGAGAAGACTGAGGCTTCCAAAAACATGAATCTGAAGTGGGTCCCATCTCACATCTTTTAGATCTTGGTCTGATAGTTTATTAATATATAAAAATGAATATAGTCCTACTGTAATTTGAAATTTTGTATTATGATTTTAACAAGGGCAAATTCAATTTAGCTTTCATAAATTTTATAATTTAATATCAATTAAGTCTTATATTCGTTTAACACAGAAAAGAGATAATTTTACTGAATTTTCATACTGCGTAAAAACTAAATTCGCGTTTAACCAAAGTTAAGTATGTATACAAATGTCTAAATATACGTACATTAGCTGGAAGCAAAGCCGTTAATTAACTTAGGCATTGGCTTTTCTCTTTTAATAATGTTTTCTTTTTCATTACATGATCTTGAGCCAAAACTTTTTAAAATAAATTTTCAATATCGCAATTACATTCTGAATCGTAAGCCACGATATAAGTGCAAAAATTAAAAATAAAATTATAAAAACTTACTTGGTGAAATAAAATAAAATGTGGTGGATATACATACCTGGTACAAAATATTCTTCAATTGTATGAATATACTTTTAAAGATAATTATAATTAAATATAACTTTGTAAAGAAACGTACATAAAAATAACATAAAATCTTCTTTACTTTTTAAATCTTAACCACTTAGTCAAATAGCTCCCTACGAGTGGAATCAGAGACGGTCCTGCTAGGTGCGTGCTCGCAGGCTGCCAAATCCCGAGGGTGCCGATACCGGTCAATGTCAAATGCCTCTTTTCTCGCATCACTAGTATACCTCAAAGGACGCGACAGGGTTGTTGTAAANTAGTTCTCCACAATCAAAATAACTCAAATCTGTTCCAGCTTAACCAACACCAAATTTTACCTACAAAAGAATAAAGAAAAATCAACATAACTTCTATGTTTCCAGACACACATGCACATGCAAGATGCCCCATAAGTGCACATTCTCATAGTAAGGATGCAATAACTACACATATTGCAACCTTACTATAAAATTATGACTGATCAATCTATTTACAAGTGGTTGATTGATACAAATGAATTAACCAATTATTTCAAAAAGTGTTAAACACACTTATTTCAAATTTTAATATTCGAAAACTGTCATTTTAAAAAAAATAAACAAACACACTTAAATTTTTTAAAAGCAGTATAATTCCTCTTTTATACAGTCTAAATATAAATTTATTTTAATAAACAATATAAATTAGACCAAAAAAATACATATATAAAAAATAACCTGAGAATGTTTAATTATTTTTTAACTTACTAAAAATAAAGGCAAACAATGCTATTGATGTAAACTTTATTGCTTAGTTACCAGGTTGCAATGTAAAAAGAAGAAAAAAAAAATTAAAACTCTGTCTTTAAAAACTACATAATTATTTGATTTTACATTTTTCAAAATAAATATTTTTCATCCACTTAAAAAAAATTGTAAGAAGCAGGAGGACATTTTCAAAATATTTCTACAAGGGTGACCATTTGTCACGTTATTTGGTAATATCGAAACATTGTTGTGTCATAAACATGTATAAATTAAATATACTTACTTGAAATTTGAAATTTTACATAATACAAGTGACTAGAAATAAATGAGATCATAAATATTTGCTATTGTGGGTCCAAGCTAGAATTGTTTTAATAATATGACTTGAGTATAAACAAAACCTGTCATTTTCACAAACACAATATTAAATTTAACTTTTTTGAGTGTCATACTTTAGAACAAGAAAAGATATACACATATATTTATATATATTTACATATAATATATATAAAATGCATTTCAACAAATATAAGAATATGTGTCACAAAATAACAATATAATAATGAGAAAATGGCAGAAAATGATGTTTTAAAACAATGAAAGATCGATGACCGAGTGTGGTGCAATAATCAATGGGTGAATTTGTCGAGTAGCGTAGCGGACAAATCATTGATACAATGAATAAGGCATAAAATTGGAAGACGGAGAAAATCACAGACGTGAGGAAATGGCATTGTTGGGACCAATAAAATCTCGCAACAAAATTTTCTGATATATTCACTTTCTCTAGAAATAATCATAGTTACTAGATTGAAATAAAATAAAGACACGGTTGCTTGAAAACAATACTTTGAGCAAATATCTTTGTATTATTTTATGAAAGTGATGATTTGTGTAAAGAAAACCAAACCTCAATAAAAATCAATCCAAATACCTACAGAAAACAATTAACAAACCTTCCTAAAAAAATGACCTTTCAAAATATGACAATAACTAACAAAACAGTAAAACAATTACTTCATTTTTTAAATATCAGTCAATCTATAAATGAATTTAGACTGAATGAGGAATGTTGATTTGCTAAAAATGCTGCAATGCCTTTCTTCCTACAATAATTGAATATCAGCAAAGTGACAAAAATTCACACCGAGAAGAGAATATCTCCTACTTCTCTAATAATGTTGGAATATAATTTTTTTCCTATGAAATATTCTAGTTTAAAGTATTATCTAAATTATACTAACTGGAATTTTGCAAAGATATAGCAAAATTTTTCTATTAAAACTGAACTATGTAGAGTTTATCTATTTTCTAAAGCTTAAAATTTTTGTAAGGGTGCAAAAAACTAATAAGACCTATAAGGATTCTTGTGCAGAAATAAGTAATTCTAACAAGTAATAGCTTAATAATTGTTTTAACAATGTAATGTATAACTTTCTGAACAATGTTCTCATGAAACATTTCAAGCAGACTGATCTCTTTTTCCAACCTAACAAGCTATTGGAAACAATTTTTAATGTTATAAACATATATATATATATATTTAAATATAAAGTGTCAGGATAATCTTGATATGTAGTATTGCACTTTTGTATCTCTGATATAACAATTTTATATATATATACATGTATATATAGAAATTTTAAAAAACATTTTTTATATCTTTCCTATCAACAAATCAACTTTCAACATATTTATTTTTAAAACAATCTTCAATAAACAAACAAGACATTTGTCCTCCACTAGAAAAAAAATCTTAAGATTTTAAGTAAAATAAAAAGGATTTTAAATGTTTGAGTTGTGGCATAACTTCCACATGAAATGAAATTTCTTTTTAGAAAAGTTTGTATTTGATGCAAGATTTAAATAGTTAAATGTGTTTATGATAGAATCAATTAAATATTTTGAAAAGTTGAGAAATATTTGAGAAATAGTAATTCTTATCATATGCCATTTGTTTCATCTTGTATGACGAATTTTATAAGGACAGTGCAATCTTTCAAAGCTTATCAAGAAATTCTAAGAGGAATAAAGCATTAATACTGTCTCCAATCTTAGCAAAAAGTATTCTAGAAGTAAGTAATCTTACATATTTTAGAGAAAGCTAATGAATAAATATAAAAAAAATTGTTTTGGGTTGGTTTTATATTATTTGGAAACATGGCCAGAATAGTGCAGTTATGATATATTAGCAGTGATGGTTGTAAAAGTAGATAAATGAAGTATTTTCTCCCAAAATACAAAGATGTTTTGAGATGATCTCTATTTTCAGACTGTAGCAAGCAAAAATGTATTTGTACAACACAAGCAATTTGCTGCTTATTGAGAAGGGAATTGAGTATCCTTTGTATTCTATTGTTTATGTAACTTGCGCAACCAATCTGATAGCTTTGGCCACTGGACATGTGCTTTGATTGAATTCGTCTTTGGGATTGATCTGCTCTGCCAAGCCGAATGAGCAAAATGTGCAGTTTGATCACAAATATGAATTTGTGTACATTCAAATTCATTGTAATCCGTCCAGGTGGCCCTTCTTTTCCAAAAGTTCCTTCACTGTGGAATGATGAGAGCCATAATGGATAGAAAAAATTTTAGTAGCCCGCTCGATTACTTGATGGGCTTCTTCGATCAGCTCACTGTAAAGAAAGAGGGATTCCAATATATTATTGCTAACATTTATAAAAGAATGACAAGAAAACATTGGCTTTATTACATATTATTATTATGAACTCAAAATAAAATATTTTTCAATTACCTTGTTTCTATTTCAGAACTTCCTCCTTTAATTACTTGTGGTATTGCAGTCATGAGCAAATCTGAGTATTTTTGAAGTTCATTAGCTAGTTCAATACTATTGGTACCATATATAGCTTCAGTTGTTGCTAATGTGGGTCGCAAATAATCAATTGCTATGGATGCCTGACCTAAAATAATTATTTGAACATAAATTTAAAATATCAATACAACTTTTAGTTAAGATACACTGTAACTTATTTTCATATTTCTATTAAAGAACATCTTTTACCTAGAGAAGCATAACAACAAGCTATCTGATCTTGAACCTCAGCTAACTGTCTATTATGACAATACATGACTTTTTCTCTGATTCTGTGACACCGTCTTAATCTCTCTAGAGCATCTAAAATAAAACAAAAAATATATATAGAGTTTTATATTTATTAATGCCTTCTAGTATCAGTAAATTTAACTACTTGATGGAAAATTCTAATCACTGACTTGTTCACAAACCCTAATTAATAAGAAAGATTCTTTCAAACATATTATATAAAAAGGAGGTTAAAAAAAAATTATTATAAATTTTTAAAATTATAAAAAAATAACATGTCAGATGCTAAGATGACATCATCTTACCTTAAATAAATAATCATAATTTGATATGAATTATCCATCTGATAGCTGAAACTACCAATGATGATAGAAGATAGATAGATTATTGTAGAAATGTGTAAAAATCAATGATTGGATGCAAAGGAAAGGAATAAAATTGCTTCAAAAAGAGCCACAATAGCTTGACCTTGGCAGGTTGATAGAAGCTGAGTTATTACTAATCTTAATATTTAACATTTAAAGTAATGGTTTATTGTCTTTATCATTATTTACTTTCAATACAACAGTTGAAATTACTGGCATTTGTTGTTTCAATTATATGCTGAAAGAATTAATGATAATGTTTATAATTTTAAGATTTCTTAATTACAATGTTATAACTGTTTTAACATGTCTTTTTAATAAAATCAGAATTTCCACTAACTGTAGTTTTATTTAAAACTATCTTCTCAAATTACAGGAACTAATCAAACAAATCAATAGCCTTTAAACTAGTTTTATTTATTTATTTACCTGATATAATATAATCAGTTGATTATTGTTATCTGTATAAATGAATCCCAAAATGATTAAATTAAGCAGCTTCTACGTATATTGATACAGTTAGCTAAACAATTGATATTCAATATCCAAGTTGCATAACCACCAGGATCAATACACAATTGAAGTTTGGAGAAATTGAAACTCATATTCAATTTCTTCAGCTATCTGCTACAATGTAGTTTGTCTGATTTTGTATAGAGTGAAACAGAAAAAGTCTCAGTTATCAAGTACTTTCTTGTAGCCATTAGAAGTTGTTTTCCTGTCATAACCAGTATGATACTGGGTTTACCCCAGTAATGTCTGTACATCCGTCCATGGAACTTTAGGTTAGGTTAACTAAGTGCCATGGAGGGCTGTACAGGCATAGAGGCAAGTGACCAATATGCTTGTGTCTTCTAAATTGGTCTGAAAGCAAAGGTTGAGCAGAGGCCCAGGTAGCATAACTAGTAATGCATCTCTGTGGTAAGTGAAAACTGTTGCTTTGTGTCCCATTCCATTTCATAATATAATTATCTAATCAAAATAATGAAATCATATTTGCAATAATTCTGACTTAAACATAAAAATCTTTAACCTTTTCTTGTTTAATTATTGTATTTTATTTTTAAAACATTAATACATTTTTAAATAAACCTCAGTACATGAATGGAGAAAACATAAAAAAAAATTAAAATGAATTAATTAATCAATAATAAACTTGAATCCATTGATTTTCAAAGAAAATAGTTATAAAAGGTATCTATAATCTGAAATAACAGTTACCTTTGTATGTTCCTTTTGCTGTTAATTGTAATCCTTGAACAAATAAATCATGTGCAGTGAATACTTTCTACAGAAAGAAGGAAATATTTTAGTTATTATTATTATTAACAAGTTAAATAAATTGTAAATCAAACTCATTTTAATTTATAATTTATTTATTTTTAATAAAACACTATTTTAAATGTTTTAAATTAGAAAAAGCACAAAATATCAAAATGTAATTTATAAACAATTATAAAATTATTTTTAATCGATTTTTAAAAGAATAATTATAATTTAAATTCAACTGCTTTAGATTATTTTCTGTAACCATCATCCAGCTTTACTTGTAAAGTTGCTATTACCATAAATTATGCTTCCAATAATTTTGTTTACTCTATTTTATATTTAATTCCAATCAAAAATTATAATGTTTGTTTTTTTTAAATAAATATATTACATTTTGTACATGAAAATAAATTTAATAATTATAAGTTTAGGAGATTCAGGAATTTTTTCATGGGTAGTTTGTCCTGAATACATTGACCCCTGTCCTTCACCACCTAGCCACCCACCATTGTGGCCTGAACAAATCTGCAGTAAGTATGGAAAAAAAGGGCACTCTTACTGCCCACAAGGCAGAGTTAAAAAAATAAAGTATCAGAAGAAAGCAAATATACAGTTAAATAAGAGTTTATATACTTTTTCACAGAAGATCAAAAATTTATGCTACAACAATCATCTATAATTAATAAATTATTTACACCAGTATAATTTTGTTTCATACCAATTAAATCATCATATTAAAATTATGTAACTACAGTTTTATAATTCCAATGAAAAACCATTATGCTTTATTTTAATCCACAATTAAATACATGCATACATTACTTAAGGCAATCTTTGTATTATTCTACTTGAATATAGTTACATTAATTAATTAAAATATTTATTTTATACATCATCAGATTATAAAACTGTGACAATGCTTGAAGCGGCCCCTAAGCTTCAGCACCACTGGACCAAAGGGTTGACACCATGTTTGCAATGACTAGTTCGTCAGGACTGACCTGTGTCCTTTAGGCAGACACAGAAGCCTTGTTGGCGATAATTTCAGTTTTTTGTGAGCAGTCGCATTGTAGGCACTTAGTTCTGACTCGAAAGATGGCATGGGTTGAGGAAGTGCACCAAACACAACTCTAACAATAACAAATTTCCATTTATTTACTGTAACTACCTAAATGTAACTGTTGAAAAAAAGAAACTCTTGTCAAAAAAACAATATATATATATATAGATTTTTTGACAAGTTTTTCTTCCTGTTCATATATATATGAACAGGAAATAATTAGTAATTGTCGGAAAAAATAAATGGAAAGTAATTGTACTGCATTACAATATAAAATTGTCACAAGTAGTTGATTGTATTGATAATACTGTTGATGTTGGAAGTAGAATGACTTTTGTAAATGTTGACGATGGTATTTTGTTGATGTTATACATATCCTATCAAAAGAGAGAGAAAAAATTTTTTGTAATTGAAAACCATGAAGAAACAAAGAGAAAATCGAACTTGCTCTTTTGCAAACAAACACGATTTTGGAAAGGCTAGGATGATGTGAAAGTCCAGGATTGATAAAAAAAAAAAGATTTTTTGTGTGAAAATTTAATTTTTAAATTAAAACTTTCTATAATTTTTCCAACAATTGTTAAAATTGTAAAGGATATGATTTTATTCCTCTGTGAAGTCACTTCCCTTTCAAAATGATACATTGAATGTGTCACCAGGAACTTGGCAACAAGAAATTGTTATTGGACATAGGTGCTGCAACATTGGCAAAAAAGGGTAAGGGAGAAAAGAGGGAGGACTCCCAATAAAAGACAATGACTGATGACAACAACAGTTTGTCTGTCTTACCAGGAGTTCATCCGCCAATGAGGGGACAGTTCGTTTGTCCGAGAGTCTGTCGCTTCCGAAAGTTTGCCCTAGTCAGAGTTGCCTCGACGATCAGACACCTCAGTGATCTTCCTCCATTCTGCACGAACTCCATCCAAGTGAACCCCTTCAAAAGTGAACTCCAAGCCTTTGAGTCGCCTCAGATACCTTATCAGGTATCTATGAACCTTATATGTAAACTCTCTCTCAGTAAGTAATATAAAACCTTTGACACTTTTTCTAGCAATTTCTTTAATCAAACTGATGTTTTTGACTATATTTAATGGCCTTCCTCAGGTTCAACAATATTGGAACGTCAGATATTCAAAAATTTGTTTTCATTCTGATGACATCATTGTTTTTACAAAAAGATTTTTCTTTTCTTTAAAAAAAATTTCTTTTAAATTACAATCATTAAATATACACGAAAATATATATTACTTATTTAAAGACATTCTAGCTTTCCACACATAGAATTGTAAACATGACATCGCCAGCCAATCTCTACAGAAAGAACGTCTTAGCTTAAAAATAACCAGAATCAGAGAAAAACTAAATTTCCTGTGGGTCTGTAAACAGAAAAAAGTATTTCCAATGTCAATCCACAGAATCAGCTTACTGATGGGTAGTATCTCCTGCTCCCAAAAATCAAGTTTGTCTGCCTAAGAAAAGCAACTTGAAATACTACAAAATCTATGTATGCTAGCCTACACAAACTAATCAACCTTGAAAACACTCTATTTAACAAGGATCCAGAATTGCCGTCGCTCGTCAATAATAGGGTTATAGGCATGCAAGAATAAGTTCAACAATCATTACACAAGAAATACGCCAAAAAAATGTATTGGATCTTGAAAAACCAAAAGAAACCTCGTAAGAACAAGCTAGAAAATCTGATAGTTTGCTAGGACAATATTAAGCCACCAGAAGAACTAGTTTAAGCATTCAAATTTGGACCCATGTTTGCTCGAAAACCTATGAAGATCTTAGCACATACCATTGTTCCAAATGTCAAAAGTTGATAATGTCCATAAAGGCTCCACATAAAGAATTCTTCAGGTGGAATGCAGTTCTCAGAAAAAAGAAGAAAAGAAACTGATGATAGGGTTAAGAAGTTTTGGACAAACATAAGTGAAAGTAAGAATTGGCTCCAGACTAATGATGTCACACTCACCAAAGCAGATAAAAGCAGAAATGTGGTACTTATGAAGAAAGCTACTTACATAGCACTACTTAAAGAATACATTGGTTCTACAGAATGCCAGAAGATAGAAGAAGGATATATAAACAAACTCCACAATAGGGTTGTAAGATTTACAAGTACACCTCTAACTAAACATCTATGATTAGTGAATGCCATGATGCAATCACCTGATATACCGAGGCTATTTGGCTATGCTAAAACCCATAAACCAATCAAACAAATATGGCCCATTGTGGACAAATCGAGATCTCCAACACTAACCATTGAGAAGGGTTTACACGAGCTCCTAAGAGACCATTTAAAAGAATATAAATACACCATTTTGAATACTCATGAACTCATCGCTAAATTAGAAAGTGTTGCTTTAACAGATCACGAATATATTCATGAATATATTACTGTAATATATTTGTGAAGCAATGTATCCTTCCATTAAATTGGAACTGTGCTTCTGTGCCCTTAGAGATTCTTTTTCAGACAGTACCATCCAGGCCCAAGCACCACAAACATATTTTAGTGTAAACCCATCTAATGTGCTATACATCATTTTTTACTTTCAACAAGAAAATCTATTTTCAAAAAAGAGGGGTTCCAATGGGTAGCCCTCTATATGGCAACCTCTGTGAATTATTTTTTTACCGTATTGTACTATTCATTAGTACACGGAAAACTGCTAGTTTTCCATTCGTTTCTGACTTTTGGAGGCTTAATAAAACCCGAGTCCGTAGACTGGTATAAAAAAATTAAAAAAGGTAAACAGGTTAACAAGGAAAATATACTTTTATTTTTATATAAATATATACTTCACCCCAAATGCATTTCGCCTGTCAAGGCCTCTTCAGTGAATTAGTAGTTAGAAAATTAGAGAGCCAAGTGCTAGAAAACTTCAGCTCAGAAATCATATTATACACATGTTATGTTGATGACATTCTTATTATCTGGAGATCTAAGCCAGATATAGATAGAATATTACAGGCTATCAATAACAACCTGTTTGTGCTTATGTTAAAATTAGATCAAGGAGGTGATAAGATGGCCCATTTCCTCAACTTCCAGATACACCTGGGAAATAGTTGTATAGCTACAAAAGTATACCATAAGCCTAACTTACAATATTTCTTTATCCCCTCAGCATCCAATGACCCATATATTTATAAAATAGCAGCTACAGGGCTCTAATCCAAAGAGCTTTTATTCATTCCTCTAACATCAAGGATGCATTACAAGAAATACAACACATTGCCATAGCCCACGGTTACAACAGTAAGTTAATAGAAAGGCTAGCTCGCAAAATACAAGGAACCTAGAAACAGAAGCCATAAATTCCAGATCTCTAGAACAGCAAAGAAAACACATAGTAGTTAATTTTGACCCTAGAATGAGCCAAACCTATAAAATCATTAGCCAAGAAGGTCAAAGCAGATCTATCCTACACATGCAACTCTTCAATATATAAACTTTTTGCCAATACCAAAGATAAATGCAGCGAAGCCAGAAAACCTGGAATATACTCAGTACCGCTGGACAACAACAGATTTAATAGGAACGAAAAGTTAACATACATAGGGTCAACCAACAGATTGTTAGCAAAAAGGATAGTGGAACATAAGTATAATATGCAGAATAAGAAGTTTAGTAAAACCCTAGCCCAATATGCAAGTGAGCCAGATATAACAGCTAAATGGGAAGAAACTAAGATTATAATACCAATACTTGATAACAGTAAGTTAAGAACAACAGAAACACTGAAAATCTTTGAAAAATACCTCAAAGAAAATTGCATTAACAGCAAAGACTCGCTATCTACAGCTTGGCAATCACACATTGACAACCCCATAAAGGAAGTGGGCTAACCCATCTACCTCACACGATATGTGACATTGCATCCTACGAATTAAAAAATATTTTAATCCTATCAGCAATAGTAATTTTTTGTAATTTGTTATCC